AAGGAAATTCAAGAATTGTTTGTCTTTGTATAAGAAATAATTTGACGTGAATAGAATTTTGATATCAATAATCCAGTATCTGGATATCTACTTGATTTTTTGTTTTCCAGTGAAAATTTTTGAATTGTTGCCCGGATCATCACGATTTGAACCATCTTGAAGTGAAATACCTTTTCCATGTTTTCTTTTCGCCTCCAATCGAATTATTTTTTCAGTTAATATTCACATAATCTTTCTTAATACCAGGAATACTGACTGAATACCACAGGTGTGGAAGTTTTAACTGCCTATCGTTTTTAATTTTCACGTAACACATGTTTCTCTAAAAAATTCGACCGCTTTTACAGAAACCCATTTTTTTCGAAAACTGGCCGCGACCCCGCAATTTGGTTTTCGGATTCGTATTTGAATTCTATAAGAATACCTAGTGATTATTGCAAGACAAAAAAAGTTCAAATTTGTTCCACAGTGTAACTTCCACGTGGTAAACGTTGCGCCTTTTTGTGATCTACCAAACGTGCAGTCAAGCAAGCAGGGTCGTCGCTTCCATTTAAAACGGACTTTGGTTTAGCAATTTTGCTTTGTAGTAATGGTTATAGAATAAAATCAAAATCTGATAGTGTAATTCCTTAAAACTTCCTACTACTTATTCGATATATCGGTTTCGGTTCCGATTCTTCAGAACTGGTATTATGTCGGTTCTGATACGGTTATACAACTGTTATTTTATAGTTCTTCATTTTAGTTTTCGTAACTGTTTCAAAAACCGAAAAATAACGGTTATAGAACCATCATTATATCGGTTCTGAAAAACCGGAACCGAAACCGATGTACCTAATAACAGTTATATCTTTATATCGGTTCATAATACTTTAATAATTTAATAATTCGGTTATTTATAACTGTTTCGATCGGAACCAATATATAACAGTTTCAAACAGTTATTTTCGGAACCATTTCAATCCTTGCAGTATTCTTTTAATACGTTCAAGAATTAATATAATTTATTAATAAAACTATTTATTGCATGGCAGTTAATAGAATATCAAACAAAGGAAGTGGGAGTGATGTATTTCCAAATACCCAAAAAAGAGTTCCACCAACAGTACCATTTCCATGTAACGTAACAGGTAATTTAAAATTCAATTATTTTAAGATACACAGTTAGCTGCGATAAAAGATAATGAAAAACGATATTATATGTATTTCCATTTTACACCGAAGCGTCTATTACTCTATTTTTCGAAAAAATCAGATAAATGAAAATCAGATGCTTATATGTAAAATAAAACAGAACTGAAACAGACATTCATCTTGAAAAAATTTATCAAGTTAACACGTTGACTGCCACGAGAATTTCGAACGTTTTATTATAATAATATTTATTCCTTCGTAATAATGATAAATAGTATTAGAAATAATTATTAATGATTCGGTATTACAATATTCACATTACGCTATTATCTAGTCGCTTATGTTACTAAATATTTTTATTTGATATCAATTTTCTCATTGTAGTTGTTTTTAAGCAATTCGAAAGCTCCGGTCATCAGTGACCACTGTGGTATTCAACGTATTAAAGTATATCTGATAAAGTATCATTTTACCGTACATCGAGCGTCAAATATTTTAATAACTCGTAATATAATTCTTTTTTATTCATGTTGTAATAGATATAATTCTATTTATTATTTGTATGAATAGGCGGTAGATCTCCGCAAGTACCGACTTCCGTTAATCGTTTGAGACCAGGGGATATAGACATGATCGGGTCGATGGGCGATTCGTTGACAGCGGGAAATGCAATATTTGCGATAAAACCGCTAGAATTAATTGTTGAAAACAGAGGTGTCGCAGCTACATCCGGTGGCCAAGCGAATTGGCGAACTTATGCAACGCTTTCAAATTTTCTGAAGGTTCTCAATAATTTTTATTTATAATACCAATCCTTTGTCATCCGAGACAAACTCGGTTTTTTATCCCGATTTTCCATTATCGTAACTTAATTAAATTGCAATTTAACATTGTACTTGACTAATTTATTTGAAAACATTACAGAAGCACTAAGACTGTACTTATGTATATGTATGAAACGATCGTGACATTACGATTAATTGTCTCAAAAGTTGGTAAAATTAGTGGTTATCGGAATCAAATTGAATATCGAGTATTTCAGGGCGTAATACCATGGAATATCAAATTAGTAAATAATATCTGTGTGACACAATACACCTAATGTGTCTATGAAAATTGATGCTTAAAGAAGCATCGTGTAACATAAAATTGCATACAATTAATTTCGAGAGTTTCATAATTAAATTTTCTTTTAAAATTCCAATAGTTCTGGCATTACTCGTTCAAGTTAGGTTTTTAAACCGAGTTTTTATCCTCGGAATTGATACAAAATAATGCTATTTAATTTCCTGTTGTACAGAATATTGATTTTAATTGTTTTTTTTTATGCAGGAATTCAATCCAAAATTGTTTGGCTATGCACTCGGAGACTCATTTACTGCTCACCCGGCCTCGCAATTCAGCGTTGCCGAAGCTGGTGCAATGTCTCGAGACATGCCTTTCATGGCACAATATCTGGTGAACAGAATAAAAAAGGATCCCAGAGTTGATATGAAAAACCATTGGAAGGTTGTATACTAAATAAAAATTTTAAATACAATGGTGGTTAATAGAACGTTTAAGATTTATCAACACATTAATGTGAAACGCGTAACATTGTACGATACATGTTCTCTGCAAGACTGCATAATTTTCATACACAAAGATCAACTATTTAAAATAATTATATTCAGAGCATGGTGTATTAAATAATAAAGTTGAAACAGGAATATGTTTTCCTAAATGAATTGAGTACAGACTGAAATATTTAATTAATCGATTACTATTTAATTCTTTGCACTCGAGAGACGGCTATCAGTCGACGTTTGATTCAACACAACAAAATTCTAAAATTCGAAATACAACGTCTGTATTTATGTAAAGTTATGCTTTACGTGTTGCATTAAGGTCTTTACAACTCTTTTCTTTAATTTGTTAAATAACTTTTATTAACTTGCGTCTTTCTCACTAAACATTCGTCGTTCGTTCGTTCGTTCGTTCGGATCCTCTTTATATATACATGCATTCTCTCTCTCTCTCTCTCTCTCTGTCTCTCATCCGCACTCACCTCATTCGCTTGGACATACACTCACTCAGTCGCGCTAATTTTGAACGGTCCTACATACATACGTTACTTGCAAAAAATATCATTGATATCTCATCAGAAAATAATAAATATTTATAAATAAGAAATATCATAGATTGCACAGAATTAATCAGTCAGTTAAATTAATTAGTTTGAACACATCGTTTAGTTTAACAGAAATTATAAAGTACGAAGTGAACATTTTTAGTTCTTTATGAGTTGTTTCACCGCGTTTAAAAGGACACTCCGTAGATAATAACTAAAATAATGATGTAAAAATGACACATGGTTACAGATGATTACAATCTTGGTGGGAAGCAACGATTTCTGCACGAACTTGTGCTCCGCTCCTTCACCGTGGTCTATCGTGGACGATCATGAAAGAGATTTAGTTAAAACCCTTCGAATCTTAAGGGATAATTTGCCACGAACATACGTCTCCCTGATTGTGACACCTCATTTAAAAGCGTTTGTCGATACTCGAAAAGGAAGGAGCGAAACGAAGTGTTACTTCTATACAATGCTGGAATGTACTTGTCTGCTTGGTTTGAAATATCTACGCAACAGACCTCTATATTACGAAGTAATGAGCAGGTTTGTTCTATTCAATGAAAATAATTGTTTTGAGTATCAGGTTCTTTTCTTTATTATTGAAAATGTCTGTAATGACAATATTCGATGATTTTGTTATCGTTAGTAAATGGACATTTTTTACGAACAGTAAAATTAGTATTTTTGTTGCTGTAAATGTATTTATTTGGTCAACATTTATAGCGTTATGAATAAGCTAAGTGATTTATAGATTCTTACTAGTTTATTTATTCGTTCATTCAGTTATTTACTTCAACATAACAGTTGTTTGATGATTACGTTGCATTAATGTCGGAATAATAGGTTTCAGAAAGTGGAAGAAGATGTTGCAGGGTATCCAGAATTTCATAAAGAAGACTTCACAGTTGAAGTTTTACCAGGCATTAAAAGGGTAGTCGTACCATTAGCTAAAGATGGATATACCGATTTATCTTACATGGCTCATGATTGTTTCCATTTAGCTCAAAAGGCACACGCATTATGTGAGTATGATTTTAACAACACTTAGTATTTTATTAATTTTTAGTACTTAAGTCCACGCAATTCAAAAAGATACAGATAAGTGAAAATCGAAGCTTTGTTAACCCTCTGCACTCCAAAGTTTTTCTGTTAGAAGTATTCGACACATTTTCGGATGAAACGTAGGCAACATCTTTTAAAAGTAACTTAATGAGAAATTATACATAAATTAAGGAACAAAGCTGCTTTATTTTGATATTCCACATATTAGTGGATTACATAAAATTTAATATTAATTATCAAGCTTCATAACTTTTCTGTATGAAATCAAGTGCGACTGAGGAGCGCCTACGGAATGCAAAAGGTTAAACATTTTTTATAAATAAATGAATAATTAGAAAAGTGCATCTATTCTTTTTTAACGCTGAATTTATTTTAAAATTCTTTCCTATGCTATTTAGTGAATAATTTATTATACTATTTACTTATTAATATTCTGTGATTTTAATTTACTTGTTGTCAGTTGGGACTGTTTTGTGGAACAATTTGTTGGAACCGTACGGTAATAAGAGTACTAATTGGTATTGGATGAGTGAAAAGTTCCTGTGTCCTAGTCCAGAAAAACCGTACTTGGCTACACGTGAAAATTCACGAATGGGTAACAATCTTTCTTAATTTAAGACGAGTCTCTCAAGGTATATAATTCTGCTGTAGAGCATATTTTTAATACGTACTATAGTCACGTAAATTATTATTATAATATTTCTCACGAACGATGTTAGTGTACCAAAAAATCATATGAAAATAACATGTTTACTTATCAATATTAATATTTCTTAATATGTATGTAAATACATGCATTCATATTGTGGAAATGGATGTATTTGAATGTGTGTACAATAGATGAATGACGCGACTGTGTGTGTGAGCGCGTTTTGAATGAATGTTCAAAGCATTGGAATATTCTAGACTATATTGATTTTCTCTATATTGATTTTTATGTTAATAATGTTCGTTTTTTATGAATCTAGAATATTCTAAATATATGTGAAGTTAATGCATGGTAATGAAAAAATATTCTAGAAAGTGTGCGAGTGAAACAAGAGCATCTGACTGTATAAATAGTGTGTGCGTTGTTTGATTTTGTTAGTGTTTTATCGTAAGTTGTCAAGAAATAATTATACTGTTTCTAATAAAATTCTCTCTATCTATTAATGATAGATAATATCGAAATCAGCACATGCAATTTTGTTGAATTAAATTTATTCACAATTTCCATAAAATTGTGAAGAAATTCACGCCAGGGTTGTTACATAAATTGTAAGATGCAGTATTATAGTAGAATTGGAGTGTCATTGTGATCAAAAATTTACGCTTATTGTATGTTTGTAATTTTTGTGAATTTATTTATGTGATTAAGATAAGATCAGTTTATATGTCAAATATTAAATTTTATCTATATATTATCAGAAATGATCACCAAAGTTGTAAAAGGTAAATATAACTAATGTAATTGAACTGTATATAATTTTTGTCATTAAATTTTATTTACATTTTCCTCGTTTGTAAAAAGATTACTCCGAAAGAAATATTTTTCAGTTCATTGTTAATAAAACATCAGTAAAAATCTTTTTTAAAACTATTTGGTAATTTTTTTTCGTTTCATTTCAGCAATGCTTTTCGATTTTATAATACTTTAACAATTTTGGAAGAATATTTTTTTATTTAAACTAATCTTTTACTTTCATTTAAACTAATAGTACTTGTAATAAAGTTAATAGTAAAACCCAGTATGAAAAGAATTGTTCATAACACACAATGGTAATTCTTTGAAAAAAATTACTAACTAACGAATTACCCGATGATGAATAAATTTTGGTTCGACTGACTCACATTGATAAATACTGTGTATTTAATCATTATCAAGAGTTTCATTTGCTAATTTTTGTTTTTTATCAATTATCGCATTAAAAGTTCACCTAATGCTGACGTCGACTATTTCGAGACAACAGATATCTTCTTAACGTGTGAAAAACTTAATGACCAATTCTGTTTTGTCGTCCTAGAATGGGACAGTTATATAATATCTTATAATCATTCGCGTAAGACCATATTATGCCAAACTATTTCCGTATATTGTACAAAAGAAACATAAAGCACCACTTTTTAATGAAACACCCACTATTAATTTTCTTGAATAAAATTAGATACATAAACATAAAATATTTATTATTTGAATTTATTTAAACAAAGTGTCTTTTACTATCATATAGTTGCATAAAAAGCTCTAAACACAAGGATTCGAAATTTATGTAGATTAATAGTCAAAAAGATACGGCCTTCATATATATTTAAGGAAGCTCATAATCTTCTACTTAAATGAATTACATTTACTAGCGAAGTGGTAATTGCTGTGTTATACAAAAATTTCTTTATCCAAATACTTTTGTCCTCCATTACCTCCACTATATACAGAAAATTACAAAAATACTATTTGTTAAATGTGTAAAATAAACTAATAAATCAAATAAAATAAAGTAATAGCAGAAACTATATAAACATTTCTTTTATTGAACAATTCTTCATATAGGTGTTCGTTAGTAACTACTGGTCGTATTTGTTATTTCTCTTCATGGTCTTTGAAGGTTTAATTGTAACGGAAGACCCTGGTGTAATGAAAAGGATTTAAATTAAATAATAGTTAGCTTAACAATAATAAAAGCTAGATTGGTTTCTTTTTGGTTAAAAGCTTACGTAACCAGCATTGAGATGTATGTTAAGCAATATACGATTAAAAAAGATATTTACATTCGGTTCTTACATATTACTTGATTTTTATCGCTCCTTTTCCTTGATCTTAAACTATGTGGTAACATCATATTCCGGTGTGGATCTAAAATACGCTAAAGCGTGATATATTTTGGACCTACTTTCACAATGTTTAAGTATACAAAATATTTTTTCAGGTTTACGGTGCTGCGGTAACTTTGAGGGTCAATGTACTGTGTGCAAAAAAAGGATTTGCTTCCTAGTATCGTAATATTTCGTGCCTCTCACAGCTAGGATCAAAACAGGTCGATCTGCGACATTTAAAAAATGACATTTGATTACTCTGTGTGAACACTTCCAGTTACCATTCCCATGATTTTTCGTTTCTATAATTAGTAGAGTACAATAAGCAGAGAAGTCGATTTAATTAATTGAGAATAAATGCATTTTTAAGCATTAATTTAGTAAATCAATAAAATGAAGGCTGTTTTGATGAAAATAGAGTTAATGTTATGGCTGGTATATGAGAGTACAAATTTTTATATATTTTTAGAAAATGTTACGGAATTAATGTTTATTTTAGCTACCAGTTAATAGTTCTGTTAACAAACGGTCTTTGTAATTACAATATTTTATTAAGTCAAATATACCATCTGTATGGGTCAAATTCAAATTATCTTGCACAAAATGCGGATGTGATTAATTTGGAAGAAACTAGAGAAACAAGATGATGCTAGAGAAATGAGAAAGTGATTAAGTCAAATAGACTGGAGAACGGCAACAGGGTTAAGATAATTAGCTTTTGGACATCTTCTGTAATAATTACAAAATTAATATGTACCATTATATTAGTTTTACTGTAAAATTAATATACACCGATAACCGGATCTTCCAAATTGCTTAAAAGCAACTTCAGAAAGAAAAAAAGATGTCAAGTCGAAACACGTCGTAACAGAAGTAACGAAATAACAGTGTAACTTAAGAACTATCATACCGATTCATTAATAATTAATTCTAATACCGTTTGCCCTCGTTACGAAAGAATAACTTTAATATTACACAAACCGCTAAAAATTCTCGCGATATGTTAAATGAATTTGATTATAAAATTAATACATACCGATAAATTAACTTTATAGGAAAAGTCGATAAGGTCAATTTAGGAAAACTGATTAAACGCGATGAAATAATTTTCAGTGTAAATTTTAAAAGGTATCTTAAGGTTATAATTAATCTTAAAGGTTTACGTAAAAGTAATTTACTTAGCTGTTTTTATAAAAAGTACGAAACAGTTGTCACGAATGTGCGACATAGGTAACAAACGTGTTAATCCGTTATACGACACTCTATTGCACCTTGTTGTTGATGTTTATGTACAATAAAGCCTCATTACCTGCCGTAGAAGAGACAACAAATATGATGGATGGTTTTTAGTGACAACATGACGCAAATACGTGTTAGCGCCACTAGAAGGGTAACACTTCGGCTTGGCCACTCTTACTCACGTACGATGGCTTTGTTACCGTAAAAGAATACGAAAGGACACAGGTATTCCGTTCAGAAAAGAAAAGTAGAGGGGCCATCGATGGACAAGCGTAAGTCTTCCCTTGGCGGTCTTCATTCATGTCCTGTGCCATACTCTGTGAGTATCAGGTGATTATCGATGAAAGGTGATCAAGTGTATCGTACGTGACCGGTAACATTTCTCGAACGACTAACGAAAATCAAACGACAAAGTGGCAAAAGAGTGTGTGCTGAACGTTCCAATGATGAAACTGGATTTTGCTGGTGAATAATACATCCTTGAAGTTTCTGCTGCACTTCAGGACCATGAAAAATGCGACAGAAACTGAAGTAACAAGTAATAAATAAATGACAACAAACACATGGAAATAGAAATGTTGATATTAGTGTAAACGTTAGCATTAAAGATTTTGAAGAAAATAATGAAAAAAGATTCTTGAGTGGGGATAATATCGACGTTTATTCTGTCGTCACTATATTAGTGAGAAGATGAATCGGGAGAGATTAAGAGATTATTTTTTTCAACACTGTTCAACATTCCTAGTGCCGTTGATACTTCATTTCTTTACCCTGGATCGATATACTTTTTTTCGAATTTGGGTTTTAAACTTTATTGACGGACGTCGAATATAATACTGCGAAGTAATGTTCTTTTTATAAACGCGGGTTTACTATAATTATTCTGTGATAATGCAAAAAAACACATTAGTTGCGTCAAGAAGATTATTGAAACGATTGACGAGATACAATGTATAGGTCGGTAGCAGCAAGGATGTCAGAGATGTATATGTAGATGCATAGTAATATCGAGAATTCTGAAAAAGAAAATATTTTCTTGATTTTTCGGCAGCATGGAAGAGAATAATTAAGAGATAGACGAGCAGCTTGACTAAGTGGTTTCTTAAATTGAAAAAGTAACCGTAAGAAATCAATACGTAATTCTGGTTCGTCATCTGTGATTAATGAAGGAGATACATATGTAATACAGCTTTTATGTTTTTTGTAGCTGAAATCATTTGCGGGAATCGTATGTCACCTTGATTCATATGACACATAAATAGATGAAAAATGTTTAAACAATTAGTCTGGTTTCAAAAAATGTGTTTATTACTTATTGAAATTTTAATAAAATCTGTATATTATTTTAACGTTCAAATATTTATCGCTTTGTTTAAATGAATATAATGTTTAAATTGAAATAACACTTTGATCTTTAAACAATAGAAAATATTATTGACAGAATTTTGCATTGTATTAATTCAAAATGTGAAAGATTTTAAAATTGGCGTGCTTCTGTAGGGTATATTATATTCGGTGACTGACCTACTCAAATTACAATTTTTTGTTACGTAACCCGTGGTAGCATTAATCTTTTATATTCAGTTTGAAGGGAACTAGCCGAAAAAGAGTTACATAATGTGTGTCCTCTAAAAATAACTGATTTGTGAATATACCGTCAACATTCTTAGTGTCAACCATTGCTCATGATACTTGAATTGTTGACATTTTTTATCGGGTCTCAGGAAATATTTAACTTTCAATGATTTACTATTTATCTTTGTTTTATATTTTTTGTAAATACATTTGCAACATTGTTTTGGTAAAATAAAATAAATTGATTAATGACAATGTTAATTATAATACGTTTAGTTTCTATTAACGAACTGTTCACTAACGGCCTTGTTATTTTTATTTACATTAGAGATTCGTAGGAATACTACTTGATAACAATTTTTTTTATTCTACTTTTTTAGAATTCTTTAAGTTCTCAATAAGTAATTTACATCTTTGAAACGTAGATATTAAAATTCCATATAAACGTCAAGGTTAATAATTTCATCTTTGAATTATTAATATTATTTTTATTTAGTATAAAACAGTTAAGTAGCAAGATAAAGATAATAGTAAGGTAAAATCAACGTTTGCAACGAAAAAAGAGAGCATGTCAAGAAAATTACAAAAAATTTCCATTGGAATACACGTAAAAGTATTAATTGAATTAATTCAGCGAATATAAAAAGTTGTTGAAAATTGCTAAACAAGAATCAGTAAATAATTTTCTTACCAAGAAATACATACATACACTTTTTTACTGCATAAATCTTTGCAACATTCTGTATTTTGAAATTTATACTCGTTAAAAGATCTATAATTTGTTCCAAAATTATATAGATTATATATTTAATATATACACGGTGGCTAGGAAAGTAATATTAGTTTCTGACTTTCGCATATAAACAGATGCCAATGTCCCATACATCTTTCTATAAAAATGAAATCGTGGGAACCAATGAACATTACCCAACTGATTAAGTACCAGAGTAAATTATTGATTGTATATATTCATTAAATCTACATTACGTTTTTCTTAATATAATTTATAAGTGGAATTTAATTTAAGGGACCAACACTATACTTCACTTTTTCGAAGCAGCTTCTTCCGTCAGCAAAAGAACGGAAGAATTCCACCTGAATTAAAAATTCACCTGTGAACGACGTAAACTTTGTTTTAAATTTTGTTGCTGCCATTACGTATTCAGCACGTATATACGTACCTGCAAAAAGGATCCGGACTACTTGTGTAAAAGATTCACATTCGAACTTTTCGAATGCAGTGACTTTGATGGGAAGGAATAGTGGAGAAAGTTTTATTCGCTGAAATATATCCTCAAGAACAATGATTCTTTCAGAAACATGGAAAAAAGGCTACTTGTCAATTGAAGTAAAAGTGTCGTAAAAGAATTTTTCTTCACAATTTTCCCGGGAAGTTCGGAAACCTTCTCCACGTGGAAAAGGTTAGCAGGCACCATGGGGATGAAGAAGATGAATTTGCTGGTGATATTAGTCTTAGTGTCAACGGTGACAAGTTCCTTCACTGGTTTATTACGAAACGTGCTTCAATTGGGTAAGGTGAGTATTTCGGGTCAAGATTATTAAGAAATACTTCAGTTAAACAGCAATTGTTGATTTCTTGAAACCCATTATTCTTTTTATATCGCATTGTCTTTCGTAAAGAGAAATTACAGGTGATTTCTAATCTCTGAACGACAATATATAAATATGCAATCTGGAATGAAATATGTAATCTGGAATATTTCTTAAAGTTATGGTAATTCTGTTTTTATGTAGTAATATTCAGAAGTTCATATAATAATTTTAATAATAATTAATATAAGAATATTAATATAATATAATATAATATAATATAATATAATATAATATAATATAATAACACATTAATAGTAATTTCGTGATTAATAATTACTTTGTACAGTAACAAGGATACTGTTAACTAAATGTTTTAACTTTCTGGGAAGATTTCTCTCGTTGTAAACATTTTAATTACGGTTGTTACCCTCGTAAATATATTTTGGTCGTGAATACTTCGATATAAGTGAAAGTTAATACATTGACGAATCGGATTCATCATTGTTGGCTAATTTGGTAACCCGGCTGACGAGTAGAAAAGTTGCTCGTAGAGATCGCCGGAAAAAAATGTTTTAGCATGCGAGGACTGAAACTATGCGAAGAACCGAACGTGATTGGAGAGCTAATTCCGATGCCGTTAATCAGATGGTTCATGGTGTCCTCCACCTTGGAATCTTCCATTTATAATAGTTTTTCTTTTTTTAATGATTTCAAGAAACACCGAGATCGAAATAATCTAAATGTGACTCATTCATTAAACGTTATTTATTGTGCTAATAAAGATTAGTTCTCGCTACTGGTTTAAAAACTTACTTAACGATTTTTCGGAAAGAATAACCTGAATAAATAATATCCGTTATGATAGTTTTAATAAATATTGAATTATCTTTTTCATTAGTAATTAATTAAAAGAAACTGTTCTTAGAGGTATTAAATATACTTAAATTAGTTTCGAATATTTTTGATTTCACATTATCGGGATATAAAGATAATAATCTCACAGTATTCATTATTCTTTAATAAAGATTTCAAATTCAATCATTTTTACTTAATTATAACAACGATAACACTAAACCGATGAAAGTGAAGAGCTTTACAAGAGCGATTAATTTGCGATTCATTTATCAAATTTTAAGGTTGTTAATGAGATAATTTCTAATGTAATAAGAGATAAGAATAAAATATAAAGTATAAGTTCTATATAACAAAGGATAAAATAATAAAAAAAAGTCCAATTGATAACGGGACAAATCGTGACGCGTTAATCTCACGAGCCTCGCTGCTCGCGTTATTATCAAACCGGAAGGACGACCAGGCGATCGAAAAGAAAAGTGCTTTGCATACGGAACAATTGGAGAAAGGCCAGAACTTTTCTTTTCGTTTGTCTGCGGACTCGATAGAATGGCTGGCCTCGGTCTGGCTTCAATTGAACTGGAGTCCCAATTTGACTGACACGCGTCACTGGTGATGGTTAACAAGCAGGTTAACAAATCCGACAAATAAGGAAAATATTTTAAAACATTTTACTGAAACACTAGCTGAATGTAAAACTAAAAAGATAATAATATTCGACGGATATTCTGACAAATAATATTTGTGACATAATTTGAAATGTTAGAAAAACAAACTTGACTTATTTTCAAATTGATTTTCAAAACATTTTCGAAACATTTTCGCCTTCAATATATAAATATTTGCATTTTACACGGAAATAACGAAGAACACATTATTTAATATATTTCAATTTCAGGTAAGACAAATTATTTTTAATCATTTTCTCATACATAATATCAGTTTCTAACAATACTATAAATAATTCAGAAATAATCAATTGTTTTTGACTTCACAATCTTTCAGAATATGAGGCAAGAAATAATCACTTTATTTAGATCAATTTAAAATAAACGTTTATAATTCGCAACGAACAGAGAAATAGTCAATAATTTTAATATTTATTTATTACAAGCAATATACGTATGTATCATTCATTTATTTAACAATATTTAAACAAAGAAACCGTGACACAATGCAAATAAAAGAAAGCAAAAGCAACTGCGTGAGTCGTGTGCCAAACTCAAATACTTCGGCGATCAGCAAAGGCTGAAACTGTGACGAAACATGCTAGCTAGTATACCGGACGTGGAAGTGTCGGTACCGGAAACAAGCATGCTTTGAAAGTTTCACGTTCTTTGTGGAGTATGTTGAGTCGTCGTAACATAAATAAATATTATAAAAAAGTGTTGTTTTCTTTTAAATCCTTCTCCTACAATATCGTGTCAGAATGGCGATACAAATTTTCAACCGATTCGACAAGAATATTATATCAGGTCAAGTTATAACGTATACATTATAATATAAACCTACTAATATATCAGGTCAGGCTATAATGTATGTATATTATAACTTGATCTGACATATATTCTTGTCGAATTCGGTTGAAAATATACATATGTAACAGATATATAAATAAGATATATAAAATATATCTTTTCGTAAAGTTAATAAATTACCCCAATTTATTTGAATACAATTAATTTCAATGTCGCATCCTACAGATTACATTTAATGAATATTTTAAGCTATGAAAGTTTGAAGTAGTGTGATTTAAGTATTACATATAGTTAAGAAGAATTTGAACAAAGTGGCATGATCATTTGAATTTACTGAACGTATAAAAGTAGAAATATAAAAGTGTTTAATGTTGGTAAAAAATGACTTATTCAACACGAGAACTTTAGTTTTATTTGACATGAGTTCATTAATCACCTGTTCTCTATTTTTATAGAGTCTATTTTTAAAGAGCACAGTAGTCAGTTTGTAAACACGAAACAGAATTACGAAAACAATTATTAACACTGAAACTACCGTACAATAGAATTGCTGTTTTGTAATTTCTTTTAATGAAAACGCTAAAAGTGCATCTATTGAGATTTCGACTGACTTATAATTCAGTTTCCGTATTATGAAAACAATTTTTCCAACAACTTCTCAGAGAATAATTTGTTATCATTTCAAAATTTGAAAAAGAAGAAATCGGGAGTAGGTCATTTTTTGCCCATCTGGTAGTTCTAGTGTTAAAATATTTTCAACTATAATTTGTAATAAGACCGACTAATGGTAGACGAATTAAGGTATTTTATCCTACTATTCCTCGCATTGGGTTGCGCTGAGTAATCTTGCAAAAATATTTATTGTAAAATATGTGTTCCAAATTGTCAAGATATACGTACGTCTTACATTCGGTTATAATAAATATTCATAGGCATTCATGCACAACTAGTAAAGGATCGTTAACAGCAAATCATTAAAATAATATTATTTATAAGGCTATCTAAAATTTATTTTATATAAATAAAAGCATATTTACAAGCTAAAACTACATACTTAAAAATAAAGTTTATATGCTTGTGTAACTTTTGAATAGAATTATTGTTTCAGGCTGAGACTGATAGCAAAGGGATTACTTATCCAATTCTACGCAGTGGAATAAGAAGTCAACCCCAAATTCCACATTATATTCCCTTTCCCTGCAACGTTACATTTGGAAGGTATATACGTAATTGAATTTCTCTCAATAGCTATTATAATAACGTGTTTATAATAAAACATAATATAAATATGATATTATATTTTATAAAATAGATTTATTGAAATTCTTATTAAATTTCTCAATAAAAGAAATTCATTACCATGTAACTTTTGTTTCTTTGAATTGGTTTGAGAAATTTTTATTTTTCATAAAGATCCGCTGTTTAATTATTATAGTTATACGTGGGGTGTTCAAGAAGTACCGAAAAATGTAAATAGAGAAACAACAATTAGAATTCTTTATATAAGATTTATATAACATTTTATATAAGTTTTATATAAGCTTTGTTTTCAACACATGTTCCATTTAAGTAAAATATAAATACCTACTGAAACAAATCTCAAAAAGTTTACGCATATATTTTATTTATTATTGTAGTAAGTATTCTATTTTCAAATAATCATTGTCTGAGAACTTTTTGAATTCTTTTTGTACATAATGTAACCTCCTTCGTTATCTATTTATTTTGTTTATTTATTTTTATATTTATAAGAATATTCTTTATTTTTCTATAATCTTTTCTATAATAATATAATTTCTTTTATTTATTTATATACTTCTTACATTAATACAGTTCGTTCTTTCGTATTTAGGTCTCGCTCTGCTCCTGACAGTGTGCATCGTTTAAGACCAGGCGACATAGACATTGTCGGTGGTTTAGGCGATTCTTTGGTCGCAGGAAGCGGTGCTCTAGAGGAATACGCAATTGGAACGTTTATAGAAGCCCGCGGAGTTAGCTGGTGTGTGGGTGGACAAGGTGATTGGAGACGGTTCTTAACCGTTCCTAATTTATTAAAGGTATTAACCGCGTTAAGTGTGTAATCTCCGTAAAATCAACTTAAACGGAATAACATAGTTTCACGACCGTGACCGGCATGCCTTACAGTTAGAAGTTATTTCTGTGTTTACTACATCTTTATAGTTTACATAGCAACAATATTTTACTAAATTTAATTTATGTTCTTTACAAAATATTTAAAAAATATAATAAGGAGGAAATATCGATGCTTTAAATATTCGCCGATGTGTTGTGAATTTGATTAAAAACCTGTAGAAATATTTATTTTACTTTAATTTGTAACTTGTTAATTTGTAACTTTTATTTTCAATTTTAGAAAGTTTTACCTTTACTTTTCATTTTTCGAATAGGTGTTCAATCCCAATTTGTCAGGTTACTCGACGGGCACAGGCGAATTTATTTCAGGTAAAGCGAAACTGAACATCGCTTTTCCTGTCGCAGCTACGGAAGACGCGTTGCAGCAGGCTCGAATTCTGGTGCAAAGGATCAAAAGCGATCCAAAAGTCGATGTTAAACGACAATGGAAGGTATATACTCGGAATTCAAAATTGTTTAAGTCAAGTGGGAGTAGTTGTATGCGACAAAGTAAATCATAATAGAAATGAATGACAGTCATGGTATTTAATTTAATTAGAAAAAGCAACCTAATCTTACAGAAACTAATCAATTTTAATGAATTATTGTTAATTATTTTAGTAAATTTTTCTGTACGTAATATTTCCAATTATTCTAAAATATTTAAGTTATCATCAGTGCTACTTAGGGGTACTAAATATGATACTCTTTAAGTACTGTTTAAAGCATTTAGTTTTTATTTTTTCGAGACATTAAATAATTTGATTTTTTAAGACACTTTTGCATTTTACAGCTCGTCACCATTTTTTTCGGTGCAAATGACATATGTTCTGCGCAGTGCTTCAATCCGGCACAGTTTTCACCAGTTCGTTATGCTCTTCATTTACGAAGAGCGCTGGACTTTTTGAAAATTGCTTTGCCTCGTACACTAGTCAACCTCGTGCCAGTTATAGGTAATTAATTCATACACAGGAGTATTACTGTATAGTTTACTTGTAAAGTTTAATATTTTATGTTTATGTTTATGTTTAATTTCACGTTGTTCGTCTTATAATTTTGTTTGCTCATTTTGATTAATCGGAATATATCTATAATAAGTAATGCCAATAATAAGTGAGATTGTATAGTTATTGGTATTAAGCAAGAGTACTTTTTTACCACAATAACATTAGATTTTCCGAATGCAATTATTCAGAAATTATTTATTATTTATTTATATAGATATTAATATTTCCTAGTTCTATAAACATTAATAAATTCCTGCGCTGCCTTGTTAATAAAGTGGAAGTAAAATTTGTATTGTAATGTGAAAAATTGTGTTGTTTCTTTTTAGATACGACAAATTTATTATTGCTTCTATAAAATAATTCAATTGCATTATGAGGTGTTCGGTAACGATGGAATATTGTAACTATCGGATATTCATAAAGCATCTGCATTTCATATTTTATATTTTATTACGTTATGTTTTTCGATGGTATAAAATATATATCAAAACAATACTTAATAAAATAATAAAATTACTAATTTCAATAATGTAAATATCACGATTAAATAGAATATTATTAATAAGGAAATACTCAAATGAAACTACCAATCCTTGTTGCAGATGTTACAGTATCCATTAGAGTTCCTCGAAGTGCTATGTGTAGCATTCTGCATCCATTATATTGCGCTTGCATGCATAGAGGCAGTCAACCGAGCATTACAGCCTCCAAAATGGTACATCTTTACCAACAAGCAGTAGAATCTCTAATAAGTTCAGGAAGGTAAGGTTCTCTAAGAAATCTTAAGTCACATTTGTAACCCATCAAGTTAGATCTATTTTTAATTAGCGAATTTAATTTAAATGTTCATTCAATTAAAAATTTATTTAATTAATTAATCATTACTATTAACATAAAAGGTATCAATTTCTTTAGATACGACAAATCAGTGGATTTCACAGTCGTGTTACAGCCATTTATTAAATTATTCAATGCTCCGAACGCAGATCCAAACAAAGCGTCGCCAATTGATCCCACCTTGGTCACGTACGACTGTTTTCATTTTAGTCAAAAGGGGCATGCACTGGGTAAGATCCAGACGAACTGGTATCGAGAATTATCTTCGTTTACCAATTGTTGCTGTATTATCAAATACCGTTATTTATGAACACGTTGATTACCACGGTGGTCACCGATAACCGGAGCTTATACGTTACTTGAAAACAAAGTCGTGAATTCCAAAACAATAAAAGTGCACTTTTTAACGTTATACATACGAGTTATTGATTTTACCATTTTTAACTTACCCAGACCCATTTAATAATACTAAAAATGTACACACAATCATGATGTATGTGTAGACAATGTTTGCAGCAAGAATCAATAAAATAGATAATTAATGATTGAACACGGATGAAAAGAAAGATTAATTTTCTCGAAATGTTGATTGGTTGACTTGTGCTGTTTTGAAATCCATGGCTTCAACTATAATTTGTAAGATAACTGATTTCGAATAAAAATGTTTCATATCATAATTAGGTGGATAACAGTGTAACGTAAAAATTTCGATGCAGTATTCTCGCGATTATGTAGCACCTGGTACGTCGTTTAGTTATGACACACTGTTCAGTGGTGGTAGATATCGGCGAGATAATAACGCCATGATAAAACTTTGTTGCAAGGGAATTTTTGTAAATGAAACTTTTATTAACACATTTGCGAGATTCTTCTGATCAAAACAAAACTAAACATGACATACTTTGAATCAGAATTTACTAGCAGATCGTACTTTATCTATAGTGTTATAGAACTATTGTAATTTATCTAATAAGTAAATATGTTCTAAAATATATCGTGCTTGGCCTCGTTTCAATCAGAGAAATTTCACAATTCAATTGATAAAAGTTTCAATCAATAAACGTGAAAAATAAAAAACTTTAACATTGTATTTATGTCCATTCATCTGTTTGCTTTGTTCGTTGCGATGTTCGGATCTCTTGTTCTTTGATTCGTACCGTTCTTTTCTTCAAAAGACAAACAGTTGAAGTCCCGATTTTCGGATACTAATTGCGAAAATACTGTATCTAATAATTAATAATTGTTCCCTTTTATCTTTCCTACTAAAGAATAAGCGATACAAAAAACACTGAAAATTTTCGTGGCAGTCAACGTGTTAATGAAAGTTAAATCTATTACTCTGGTGTTTCCATTTTCTTAGGAGCCAATCTGTTGTGGAACAACATGCTCGAACCAGTCGGAAGCAAAACGGATCACGGTTTGCCGGAGATATTCGAAAGAGTTTTATGCCCAAACGAAAATGCGCCGTACATTTTTACGAACGTCAATTCAAAGTATTTCAAAATGACAGGAAGACAGGATGGTGTTTTGCCCAGATAATGTACAAAAGCATTAGTGATACTAATAATTTTACATGTGATAGTTCATATCAAACGCGATGAGAACGAAAGAACATACGGACAATAGGAATCTTTTTAATGACTGACATTTTTGTGAATCAACCGGACATTCGTGTAAAATATTTTAATATGAACTGACAATGGTGTTATCATTTAATTGGAGAGAGAATAATAATAAATAGCTATATTGGAAATAAAATAACATTGTATTGAGTCTACACGTAAATAACTTTTCCCTTCTCTTTTCAAATTGTTTCAAGCTGTAACATTTTATTAATAAATATTATCCTGATTTTAGGAATAATGTAAGTATTATTTAAATAGCAAGTACTAATTTAGTAAATAACCACTATTTTTAACGAAAGTCACTTCAACCTCAGTCGAATATTTTAAGTATGTAATATTTAAAAAAACACTTTATACAATTTATACGATTGTGTAATTTTCCAATCTGTTTTCACATATTCTAATACTACAAAAATGAGAATGAAATCTATTTTACTAATTAACAGCTTCATTTGTTGTAAGATCATTTGTTAAAATTCTTCTTTCATTGTTAAATACATGTAATCCGCGGTCTGATTAGAAGTAACAATAAATTATGTATCAAAATAAATTATAAGAACATATATTTAACATGAGAGAAAATGAAATAATTAAAGTAAAATAAAAATTTATCTGAAATATTTTATTATACAACTGTCATGTGCAAAATCAAATATATTTATGAAACATATGAGAAAAAATATTTTTACGAGGTCATGTAATTCGATACTGCGTTTCGGTGAAAAGTAGAAATGTTCAGATGCATCATGTATGCATGTATTTACTGTCAAGTGTATTTTCGGCCAATTATGGAATTCGACCTTAAATCTCGTGATCATACAATGCAGGTCAAGGTATCCGTGATTTAAAAACGAAGGATTAAAAATACGAGGAATAAGGAGCAATTTAAGCGAAGGTCATGTCAAGAGTAATTTTCAACGATGAGTTCAGTTAAATGTAATGTACAGAATGATCCAGCTTATTTACCTTTTCTTTCGTACTTAACACTAGAGCTACCGTACCCGTCAAAATGACAGTTTTCAGTTTTCTTATTGCGCAATTATTGATGTGTTAAAAATATTTGAAATAATTCCAAAAATAAATAGTTTCACTTGAATATGACGGTTTTCAGTTTTCTTTACTCGTAATTATTGATATCCTAAAAGTGTTAAATATCCGAAATAATTTAAGAAATAAATAGCTTCACTTGGATATTATAATAAATACATAAAGAAACTGAAAAAAATTAATTTTTACGATTTTCATAACGATCACATTATTATACATATACTTATATTAATCACATTAAACGTTCGGGAATTCTAGTTAACATGCTTCCAATAGTTTTGACCTTGCCAAATGACCAAAAAATTATTATTTTGTCGTTATATATTAATAAAAGATTTCGTCTAATGAAACAGTTACATTTCTCTGAAAAAGTCCATACTTTTCCATCTCGAAAATCTGTCGTGATCATTATAAAATGAATAAATTTTATGCATTTAAGTAGTTTAGTCATACGACTGAAGTTACAGGTAACATGTTTTTACACGTACAACATTTGTGCAGTTCCTAATTCAGAATATATTGACATAATCGTTAGTAGTACGTATTGATAGAAACACATTTTTTTTTTTTAATGAAAATAAAATGCTTCTATCATGTACAATTTTTCATGATCAAATCGTACCAGAAAGGGTTAAAGGAATATTCATTTTCGAAATAACCAATTCTGTAGGTATACATTACTTGCATGAAAATTTTTGAAAATATCATTTGTAGTATGAATAGATCCACATACCAGAATAAAGTATGTACACACTTTACGAGGAGATAGGAACAGCTAACTGGTTAAACATATGCAGTTATAGGAACGAAAAATGTGTCCGGATTGGCGAACGTTACTTTATTGATTCAATGTTTACATTAACGGGAAGAGAAATGTACATTCGGAGCTAAATCTGATAATACTCGAAGACGACCGGCACGTTTTCAAGTAGACTGTCGTACTCGTACGTTACTTTAGGGTCAGGCCTCGGAATCTTCGAGTTGATTACCTCCAGGAATTCTCGGAAAACGTCGTAACTGCGGTCCTCCACCGTTTGTATCACGGTCTTTTTAAATATACCGACGATGGCTTTGAGCGCGAGATTCAATACTTTATCAATTGCGTGACCTTCGAGGGCTATGGCGATTTTTCTGAAAAACAAGGAAATTTGATCGTTAGAACTGTTTTTTCTTAACCCTTTTAATATCAGCCCTGACTAACCAGCATCCCTATAAAAAGATTTGTTTTCTTCTTTGTATTATTCCGACTTTACTTCAGCAAAGTAGCGATCTTATAAAACGTAATTATGAAGTGTGATTTTAGAATAAAAGTTTCATAATAATATATAGTTATAATATATAATTTTAGAATAAAAGTTTCATTATAAAATATAGTTATGAAATATAATTTTAGAATAATAATTATACTAGAAAATATAATTATAAAATATAATTTTAGAATAAAAGTTTCGTTATAAAATATAATTATGAAATATAATTTCAGAATGAAATTTTCATTATAAAGTAAAATTATGAAATGTAATTTTAGAATAAGAATTATTTTATAAAATATAATAAAATTATCATATAGAATTTGCAGATAATAATCGTTACAATAATTACCCCACACTGTTGACCTTGATCGAATCGAGAATAACTCGATAACTCTTGAGATCCACCTGCAGTATGACACGCATGCGTACGTCGTTAAAACGCGCATCGAAACCTCCGTTTCGCTTGACTAAGGAATACTTCACATCGTAATTGTAGGCGATCTAAAAGATACGGGAATCAAAGTTTTCGGTTCACTTTGTGTCATTATCTCGCGAAAATAATACTCGTGCATCGTCTTACGTCAAGAACGTCAAATCCTAGATCCATGTCCACGCGCAGTACTTTATCTTTGTAAGATATGTTGACGTCGCCGCTGCGTTTTAGAGAGGACATCCCTTGCATCCAGCCTTTGGTCAGATGGATGTACCCACCTTCGCTGATTGGTGCGTCCTGCGCGGATGAAAGAAACATGATCGTTGTGTTATATTAATTGTTTCACAATTGTATTAATTACTTCAAAAAATATTGACATTGTCCAATAATGGGTAAGAACGAATGAAGAATGATATACCAGAGGCTTGTAGAGTTCCTTCATGCTCAGGGGATCCAATCCTTTTTTCAGAATGAGGTCACGTAAGAAGGGTAATGAGTCATCGAAAAGTTTATTGATGCTAACCGGTTCTCCTTCATATTTATTGCCATTAGTTCTGAAATGGAAACAAATCTATCGCAAATTCGAACATTGGACTTAGTTCGTGATTTTTTTGTGATGAATGGAAAAGTATTTCTTAATCTTTATGAAATGGTGGCAAGGTATATTTTTTGATTATAAAACGGGATGCTGACTGTTCGTGAATATTTTTCCTATTTCTTTTTTGTTGCATTTGAACACACGCAATTATGTGTTATTAAAAGTATTAAACTCAACAATATTTTCCTGAGAATATGTTATTATAAGATATTCATTGGTGAAAATGTCGTATAAAAATCAATATCTATTCTAGGGATAGATCCTCCAAAACTTTTATTAATCTAATATAAAAGAATCGTTAAAATTTCCTTATTATAACGGAGTTGAAGCGTCATTGTACAAACCTGATTTAAAACACAGAGAAAGATTATTTAACGGTTAAGAAATTTGATGAAAATAACTGATTTATTCAAAAAATTCAGATTTACATTGAAATTAACAATTCCTTCATTCGACCTCAAACTCAAATTAAAATTAACAATTCCTCCATTCGACCTCAAATTCCAATTCAGATTGATAATTCCTCTATTCGACCTCAAATTCCAATTCAAATGAACAATTTCTTCATTCGATCTCAAAGTCAAATCATTAATTCCTTCATTCGACCTCTAAAAGTGACAGGTTTAAGAGGAACTACTCGTGAACCGACTGAGAAACACTGATACAGGTATACTTACTGAACCTCAGCGGGAAGCGCGAAACTCGTGTCCAGCAGAACGAACGCGAAAAGCAAGCATGCGAGCCGAATAGCAGCGGCCATGATGCACCTCGTCAGAATGAACGCGAGCGGCAAATCGCAAACAATCTCTGACTACCTGTTCCCCGTGATCCTCACCATTTTTATTGACAGATTGCTCGATTATCGGTACGCATCTTATCGCGGTATCAACGTTCATAACAAGACAAATGTCAACGAGATACGAGCCGTGATACGGATTCTTTCACAGATTATGGTGTACAGATCAATTGCCGATTAACACCTGGGAGAGAGAATGAACCATAACGGAAACAAGTTCGTCTCGAGTTTTTAAATTCCTGTGGTCTAATAAGGAGCTCAAGGAGACTTCGACGCTCGCAGTCGCGCGATTATCTTTTCCTACAAACTGTCGTCTACTGTTGTCAAACTATTATTAAATTTGAACCATTTGCACTTGAGAGACGACTATTAATCGCCATTTGCTCTAGCACAGAAAAATTATAAATGTTAAAATTCAATAATCAAATTTTTGTACAAGGTATTTATCAACGTATGAAATATAGAAATGAAATAGTTCTGATCTTTGGTTTATGCAAGATTTTTCTTCATGTTAGTTGCAAATAGTTAATACTGTTTATTAACTGTTATTGATACTATTGATAATACTATTTATTACTATTAAATATTGATAATTGAATATTTCATCGGAAGATAATGAATATTTGCAATAAAAAATATTGTTGAGTAGAAAGGTTCAACAGTCGGACAGCGGAACTTAATGGAGAGTTGACACTTCAGAGTGCACAGCGGCAAAGGGAACTTTTGCAATGCGCTTTGTTTGCAGTATTGATTAATTACCATGTAATTGTGTTGATATTACTGTCAAAAATGAATGTAATGCTTCTAGCAGTGAGCACGTTTGGAATGTGTATTTTCCTTAGAACAAATTGTATAGAAATAGTCACGGTGTATGTATCTGTAATTTATGTAGAACAAAAATGTTTGCAATAAATATCTGGGGTAAATCAATAATTTGACGATAAGCTCATAGTCTCTGACAAAAATAAAGTTATATCGCATATCCAAATAAAAATAAATCTTGTCTATCCAAATTATAATACTTATTGGGGAAAACTGTTGTTTATAGTAGTTTTACTTTTTCTATTATGTTGTTAAACATTTATTATCTCTTTATACTAGTACTGAGCAACCTTTATCTTGCTACAGGCTAGGGTCGTAAACGTAATTCTCTTTGCGGGCTGCGCAGAATTTCCAATGACAGACTTAACCCCTTACACTATGATTTATTTTTTAGCTATGATCGATGCAACACTTTATAGCTGATAACATTTAGATTTCTCAAATTACGTTTGAAATTTTCGTCACGAGTCTGACACGATAGATTTAGAAATTGTTTCTGTCCAAAACTCTCTGTCTCTGAGTGTGACATAAGTCGAAAGGAATACGATAAGAAGAATTCCATACATCATTTTTCGTAGTTCTCAGTTTTCAGTAGGGCTTGAAAACAGTTATGATTCTGGTTCTTAAAACAATGATGGAGAACTGAAATATAGAATCGAAATGCAGAACTGAAAGATAACAGTTCTAGAACCGATATTTAAATGAATACTCTATAACGCGATTAAAATATTCTGTGTTACAAGGTTTCAGGTTTACGAATTTCGCATGAGATTTTCCCTTTAGATATTGGTCCAACTTGTATCAACACATTGTTGATTGGTCACGAGTTAACACTCACCGTACCGGTAACCGCTCAAATGACCGGATTTATAATTCTAGGTTTTTTTTCTTCGTATACGTAACATTAATATCAATTCCTATATTGTCCGATTACTTAGTTTTTCAATTCTTGTCTTTCCTTTTCTTTCTGCTTTCACTACAAAACATTTATCATCTAATTTGTTCATCTTTATTTTACAGCCACTTATTTGACTGGTTACGGCAGTAAAAGTACCGGTACGGTTAGTGTTAACTCGTGTTTGCACTTGTATTAGCTACTTTAATTTTTGAAATGCAGAGCGATATAGAATATTGTAAAAGCCAAATGTTCAAAGTTATATAAAAGATATGTCCAAAGTTTTATTTCAATTCATTATGAATAAATAAAGTATATTGAAGTTTATTTAGATTGTTTCACTTTCATATCTAATTGCGGAATAATAACTGGTGACACGGTGACGAGTAATATTCACGATATTAAGTAGGCTAGACAAAGCAATGCAGATCTGATTGAAATCTCAATGTCTAATTATTGTTTAAAGCCTAATAGTTTTAACTTTTTTCATGCGTACTTTCGATATTGGCTAAAAATGTCATATTTATAAATCGATGAAGCGCTGTCCAACTTGTCATCTCTGGAGTATATCTACTTATCTCTGATCGTTTGTTATTTTGCGTGTCCCGCATGTTTGACTAATTATATGTTTGTGAATTAGATGTTCTTGTTAACGAAACGCGATAAATTTGGATCGATGACCGAGCAAAGTCGATGGTTTTTTTATCACTTTCGAATTTAGCAGTGGGGTTGTTAGAAAAAAGAATCAACTGTATCGAAGGATTTACTTTGGTCCCTGATCTTTTTTGAATAGATATTCCACGAGTTCGATATCCTTGGATTCCAATTACAATGCCATTGGAATATTTACTTACTTATTTATTTATCTATTTATCTATTTATCTGTTCATCTGTTCATCTGTTCATCTGCTCATCTGCTCATCTGTTCATCTGTTCATCTATCTATCTATTCTTTTATTTATTTATCCAAAGATTTACTAATAGTAAGTAATTTTAAAAATTTATTGGTAAATTATGTAATTGATGTCGCAATTCATCATGAAAGTTCTTAAAAACTGATAATTGTATTTAAATATTAAGTATTAAATTGTATATGTCAAAGGACAACTATTACAAGAGAAACCATCAGAAATAATTGGAAAAGAAATGAAAGAAAAGTAGTTCTCTATGTTGGACGTGTATTTACTTATACCATTACTTATACTTTTTTATTGTATATATATATTTTTTTTATTTGTTGCATTATATTATATTATATCTATTGCATTATACGTACATTATATATTTATGGTTATATTTTCTATAAACTCACTGTACCTTATTTGCGTTTATCGCATATACACATAAATAATATCCTTTAGTAGATTACGATGTCGCTATCTATATAAACTACTTATTCAATATCAAATATTGTTAGAGAATGGGGGAAGATATCAGACAGGATAAATGGTGGGTAATGAATCACTGGCAAATTCGAAACAAGTTTGCAAAACAATAATTGAAGCAAACTATAATAAAAGAATTCATTTATACTAAAATTGGATCATAAATAAAATGTTAATGCATGTGTAAGTGTTGTGCAGTACACATTTATCTGTATTATTTACATATCGTTCGCGCCAACCTTGAACTTTCTGAAAGATCTTATCACAAATCTTGCTTATGTTTATTACGTATTAATTTGTACTTTAAATAGAGATATATTCGGGAGATGAAAACCAATAAATGCAACCAGTTTCATATCAAACAAACCGTTAGCTTATCGTACAGTTTTATTAATGATACATCACATTTGATGTTATATTGAATTGAAGTATCGTATAAAAGAAAATTCATTCTAATTCGGATATAGTAATGATATATACCATCACCATTAATTAGTTGGGCAGACAAATGTATGAAAGGAATGCTTATCTGAACCGTCGGTAGAAGTAAGTAATTAATTAAAAATAGAATTACTTCTCAGATAATAACCAGCTGTATTTCACCCTCAAGGTAAAGTACTTGAGAAATTAATTAAAAACAAGCTACTTAAATTACATATCTATATCTTTTACTGTATAGTACAATTGGTTTTTACTTCAACATCTTAGTTTTCAAAATAAATTAAATAATATAACCTAAAAAATTGATGCGTGAATGTTTAATATGCTGAGTAGCAGTGGAAGAACATGTTGCACGCAATTTATGACTCATATTCAGTTTTTCAATAAAATAAATAGTTATATGTGTTTTGTAAGTTTTGCTGATTTTTATGAACTTTCATATTACACCGGTGTACTTTCACTGTAATTAGAACGTATACCATTATTTATAGTCATATAATGTCAGAAAAAAATTGTTTATAAAAATCTACATATACCATTATTGATATATATTTACTTATCTGCATGTTGCAGAGAATCTTGACATTTCCATTTGATTGTGACAATTGCTTTTTCCTAACAACATTAGACACTCTGTCATATAAAAAAACTGTAATATCACAGCAAAAAAATGTTTTTTATTTATCATTTGTATTTACTTACACTCCGTTGGTAACATTGAGAGCGTCTGGAGAATGGTAATGGGGTCACAGTATGTATCTAACCTCTGAACCATGTGACAAAAATTTACATCGATTGTCCAGTCTATCCTATCTATTGTTAGTGGTTTCGCGTTATTTACTGATTTACCATTGTATGGTAGATGTCACTCAAATAACAAGGCACCTGTAACAGTATCGGTAATACAGAACTGTAAGCTAAAACTCTTGAAAATAAATAACAATGAATATCTTCACTATAATAAAATTAATTAAATAAAGCAATTAAATTAAACTTAATTAAAATTAAGTAAATTGTAGCTAGACTGTTTATATTAATTTATATAAGTACATGTTTTCTCCAGAATAAAGTTACAAATATAAAACTTCTACGTTTCGCTACTCATGTATAATAAATATGTGAAATATACACGCTTATATGCAAGGTATGCACATACTTATCTGAGGTAAGTAATGCATTTATGCAATTGCATATATATTTTTAATTACACATATCTTATGAATATTTATGAAAACGTAGTTCAAGCTTAAGCAATTAAAAAAAATATATTATACTAGAGGTAAATAGAATTAGCGTAGAACAGCGTACAGAGGAATTGTTAAAAAATTATTTCAACAACGGTATTTTACCTCTGATTTGAATAATTACAATAATATCATATATTTAGGAATTTTTATCAAAGATTGTCAATTTACCTGTAAAAATAAAATCATTGTTTGATTTTTTATTTAATCTAAAGTAATAACGGAAGATTATTTAATGTTTCAGGAAAATTTTTTTTTAATTT